CCAAAGCCCCTCTAGCGCCACCCCTGCTTGGGGCACTCTTTTGACTGGAGTGCCCTGAGCAGGGGCAGTGCTAGAGGTGGTTTGGGGGGGCTATAGCCACCCCTCCCAGCGCCACCACCACCCACCCTGAGCCTGGCCTTGGCTCAGATCCCGCACCGAGAAGAGGCCAGCACAGCCCCTGGCCTCGAGCCCACAGTGGGCAGCTTGCCTCCACCCCATGCACAAATTGCAGGGGGGGGGGGGGGAAGTGGGGGGGGGGGGGGGGTACATGCCCCATCCAGGGGTGCATGCAGTGGCAGGGTCCCGCTCCCAGCCCCAGGGTCACATTCACTGCCCGGCTGGGCAGCCCCTGCCCCACTGAGTCTTTCATTGTGGGGGCTTCGATTTGTCCTCCCCCACACCCGTTTTTCCCCTGCAGACTTACTGGCAGGCAGGATGCTGCTCTCCAAGGTGCCCGGCTGCATTCCTCTTAAATCGGCTATCCAGCTGGTATCGACTAATATGTCTGGTTAATAATCGGCTATGGGTATCAGCCAGGAAAATCTTTATTGGTGCACCCCTAGTACTTTCTAGAGTTTTAAAACAACAGAAATCTATTGTCTGTTAACTGTGAAGGTTAGTATACAGGTGACCCTTGCCATTTGTGGGGGATATGTTCTTGAGATCCCCACGAATGGCGAAATCCACAAATAAGGTATTGCGTTCATGAACGTGGTGCCCCCAGCGGCTGGGGGTGGGCACGCTGCACTGGCGACAGCGAGAGTCTGGCGGCGGCAAGCGTAAAACTCCCGAGGAACTCCTTCAAGTGTATTTAAGATGCGGGTTCGGCATTTGCGAATATTTGAAACCACAAATGCTGAACCTGCGAATAGTGAGGGTAGTTTATATTAATGTTGGAACAAGACCTCTGAAGTCGATATTCAGCAATATCCTTTAGTATCTTTTTTTTTCATAATGAATCTCAGTTTGATGTGTGATTTCAAAACTGTTAAAATATTAAGGCTACATACCGATGCTCAGTTTCTACCTGGAGAATCACTCTTCTTCCCATAGAAATAAAGTGTGCAGCTGTTAAGGCTTTTTCTTCCAGAGCAAAACTGGCAGCTCCTGAAGAAAAATAATCCAAGAATAACCAGGGTAAATCATCCTGGGAGGCTGAACTCTGCACACTTCCCCAGAGAAGTTAAGCTAGGGGAAACTGGAAGGAGTGGAGCTGGAGGAAGGGCTACTTGCCTTCCTGAGACTGGGGTAATACGCTTCCCATGCATTGGGAGATATGAGGAACAGTAACAACCACTCCCTGCTTCTTCCACAAACTGAACAATACCTGGTTGGCAGGCTTTGCCAACTTCCTCTGGTTTCCCCTTGCTTGGCAGGTTGGCCAGGAGAAAGCTGGCAGGACTGGGCTGCCAGGGGTCTTTCCCTGAGTCCTTCTCCTAGTCCCTCCAGCATTTAAATCACTGTTCATGCTGCTAAGGTAAACAGTGGGGATGACTTTAAAAACTGGAGGGGCCAAGAGCAGGGTGTGAAGAAGCCCAGCTCGTGGTCCCTCTGGCTTTCTCTTGTCACTTGCACCACCCAACTGAGCTGGAGGCAGGCTGCTGTTGCCCTGCACTGCTATGGGTCAGCCCAGAACAGCCTGGGGTGAAGCAGGCTGCTGCACCCCTGCTACAAAACTCTCAGCACCTTACCCCAGCAGCTTAGTCCTCCCCCCTCTCCCACCGCTCCTCTGATTTGGCCCTGAAGAGCCCAAGGGGTGGGGCTGCTCTAGTGCGGGTGAGAATGGGGAGGTTTGCCACCATGGCAGAGTGTCCCCTTCTCACAATCAGCTGATTGTTGGATAGGGAGAGGACATTCTCCCAGGGCTGGAACCTTCCCCAAACTATCTTTGGCAGCTCCTGCTTTTTAGCAGCTGCCAAAGAGCTCACCTTTGGAGGTCTCCATCCATTGGCTGGGGCTGGAGAAATGTCTGTGCAGTCCAGATCCCTGGCTGTTTGTTTACTGAAAGAAATTTCTTTTGGTAGAAATGGAACATCCATATTGAGCCTAGCTGAAAACAGTCCTGTTCCCTGTAACGCTGTTACATTCTGTGGAAAAAAAATACACTGCAAGCATGTGCATGATTTGTGTTTTAATAATGTCTGCGACAAGCTTCCTTTAGAATCTAGACTTGCTTTTTAAGAAGGCTTTGTATATGATGCAGAAATACCAACTAGTTTGGTAGATACTTAGTACTTTTAGAATTTGTCCATGTATTTAAAGCCTATGTTCTCCTTAGTATTTTAGCTCTCAACTTCCTTTTAGTAATATACCATTTTCATATCAACCTATGTGTAGCATCTACAAAAAGTCATTTATAAGTTATACACAGACTGTACAGTACTGTATTCATGGCTTAAGATGCACTTAAAACTAAGAAGTATGTTATTTAAATAATTATAGATGCAGTAACTTGATATTTTGAAAGTAATGCTTTAGTGTACTGTGAATTTGGGACAAATTCTATTCGTTATACCAACATAAGCCCAGCGTAGCTCAGCTACAGACAGGAGTTGTTAGATTTACACTGCTCTAAAGATCAAAATTTGGCTTACTGAATTTTCTCAAAAATATGGTTGCAATTCAAGTTTGAAGAAGGTCTGAATATCTTGCATTGCGTCTCATAATTGTGTGTTAGTTTTAAATCAGACTGCTTTATTTGTGTGTGTGCTTTAATATGTAGGAGAGTGCTCAATGAAAAGTTGCAATTGTCATTGTCTTTACAAGAACCTTTTCTTTTAATTTGCTGCTGTATCTTGCTGCTGCAGAGTAAAGGAATTTGGAATTAGTCCTTCGGATATTCCCTTCTCACAGGGTAGTGGCAGTCGCTCTGATCTCTCTCCTTCCTATGAGTATGACGACTTTTCTCCTTCGATCACCAGGTCTACTTCATTCTTTACATGGAATTTTTTTTCAAGTTTTTTTTGTTCAACTGTAATTTTATAAATCAAATCTTCACTTATTTCCCTCCCCTTGAGTCATCACATACTTTATTTTTCATTCTGTTTGACAGGTGATGATACTGCATGGTCTGCAATCATCTTCCCAATTTTAATTCATTTACTTTTTTAAACATTTGTATATTTTGTACCCAGGCTTGCTTATTTCCCCTCATACATAAAAATGATGATGTCATCTTTGTAGACTTAGTGGATTGGTTCTTAAATCTATATTTTATTTTGACCTTGTTGCCGTTCCATAATTCAGTGAATAAAAACATATTGGAAGATTTGTTACCATAAAACAATAAAAAAGGCTCTGTGCACATCCTTTCAAAGCATTTGATGACGTGAACACTAGCTCAGAAAAGCTTATGCTTTTCTATTCTATCTAGATCTAGAGCTCTATATATGAGATCAGCATAAGCTTTTCTGACCTTATATATAGATACATACATCCCCCATATTTACTCGAATATAAGATGACCCTGAATATAATTATGACACCCAATAATAAGATCTTATATAGGAAAGTTTATAATTTTTGTTTATAATCTTCCAGGTGTAGAATCTAACACTCTTGGAGGTTTGCCTCAATTTGTCCCCCTCCCACTGCTACAGTAGGGAACATAAATCTGGGGGTTCAGGTTGGCCCCCTTGTTCTCTGCTTACCACAGCTGCTTCTTCATGCACAGAGACAATCCAAGCAGGGTCGGGGGGTGGTGAGTGGCCAGATATGGAGCCCCAAAGCGCAGGGCCTGGGGAGGTTGCCCTGATATACCCACCCCAGGGACAGCCCTGCCCTGGCAGCCTTTAGACCCTGCACTCCCTGAGCACATGGAAATGAAGGGCAAATTTGAAAACACTGACCTTGAAATAAGCCTACCTGTAGTAATTTGCATAAAGGCACATTATTACGGGTACTCATAGACTGAGTTTAACCAGAATTGATGCAGTTCACCCTTTTTGGAGCTGTTGCAAGTTTTAGCACAGGTATCCCCTAAACATACTTTTAAGCATCACTTTTATACCTACTTATGTTTAGTACAAACTCTATACATGGCATTAGTCCAAAACCAAAGGGCTCATGATTTACCATGTAGGTCATTGTCCTGGGACCCAGGAGAGTCAACAACATTTCAAGCCATGATAACCCCACAGTTCAGCACTGCTCAGTATGTGCATCTGTCCCAGATATCTCCCCGCAAAAGATCCATGTACTAATTAGCCCCCTACTTATGACGGGTGTTCTTGTCATGACTCCTGGAATCCTCCAAAAATGTATATACAGATGAGGCGCAGCTCTGCCTTCACCTCAGGGAAGGTGGGACCACACTAATCTTATATGATAGGCTGAGAGAAGGGGAACAGAAGGATTCTGGGTGAACTGTTTGGGGCCCCATTTGGTGATGTTTAGCAGACATTTAAGGCTGGTGAAGAAACAGGAATGATTGGAAATGAGAAAGAAAGGCACAGCTCAGCTGTGGTAGTGAAGAGGAAATAAAAATGTATTCAGTGTAGTGGGTCACCATGACTTGGGGAAAAGGTCGGCTCTGAGATGGGCTATCTACAATGGGCACTCCCATCTATCTTATTCACATGGTCTGCACTCACTTATCTGTGTCATAGGTTCCCAATAGTATGTTTGCCCAATTTTGGCCATGTGTTTTATAGTCATGCTCAGTGTTTAATCAGCTTCAGAGTTGGTTTCCATTACTGAGCACTTGCTGCTTTGGGCAGCTGTTTATTGATAGTATATTTATTCAGGTTTCCTCGTATGTGAAAGTAAGATGAGGTGCTTTTTTTTTACTCCATGCCAATTATGGGGGGGGCAGACCTTGTCTTGTATTTGAGTAAATATGGTATATGTTTAAATTAGTCTATAAGGTACAAATCTACCATGACATGTACGCAGAAAAATGTACTTGTCTGATTTTGTTCATTTTGTCTGTCTTTAAATTAGCAATTTATAACTATTGTTGACTTTTTAATTGTTAAAATGTTGAGAGAGTTTTTTTTAGATACACCACCATTTTAATTCAAGAGTAGGTGTCTCAGTTTTAAGGTAATGATAAGTTATTGGTCATGATTTATAGTAGGTGAAATTATACATTATGTTATATAGCAAGTCAGAGTAGATGATCATAAGCATCTAGGAACCAAAAATGGTTCCTTTTTGTCATTAAAATTCCATTGTGTTTGTAAAGTTGACATCATCAACTAAATAAATAAAATTATATATAAGTATAAATTGCATTAAGGTTTTTTGCCATTTGATATAGAATATTATAATTGAAATCTGGAATCTTATTTTCTGATCATAGAGTAAAGGAATTAACAGTGGATTCTAGTGCGGCAGGAGACATTCGTCCAATCATACACCATGCTCCAAATCAGATTGATGATCTAGAGACACAGTGGGGTGTAGGGAGCTCACCTCAGAGAGATGATCTCAAACTACTTTGTGAACAAAATGTGAGTACCTTCCAGAATTTCTTATGTATTTTCACAGACTCATACAAAATAATTTTGCATTCAACAGTAGATGAGGTCCTGGGTAGATTCCTATAGGCTTACTAGCTACTTCATTAAAGATAATAAAACTTGTGAATTAAGTTGCTGATTAACTTTTTCCTATTGTTAAAATGAACTTTTGCCAAAGATTTTGTTTTAGATTTTGCTTTTTTTTACTTTCTCTTTTTCTTATTGATAAAGACCTCTTAGTTCTCTCTTTTATTTGGAGATTGATTGGTTCCTCTTGCCTAGGTTTTTTTTTTTTTTTTCCCTTTCTGATGCATCTTCATCTCTGTATAAGGAAACTGGCAGCATTGTATGAAGCTCATCCTTTTTTTTTTCTCGTTTCAGGGTTCTAAGTTACTCATTTAAATATTTCCCTTTCATGTATTATCTATTTCAAGTGACTTTTCCGAAGGTTTTCTAGCAGGTTTTTTTATGTTTAACCTTATTCTGATGTATTCCTGTATTTCTCTATAGTTAGGTTTCCTTTTTGGTCTGCAGCTGGAAGTGGGAATTTGGAGCTTGACTGTTTCTCCAAGAAACCAAGCCAGCTCAGTATGCCTCTTATTTGTAGTTACAGGCAATTTCTAGACCCCTTGTATTTGTTCTTTAGCTCAAAGACAGAGAATAATTGAAATAATTCAAAGGACTTACTAGTTTGGTAAATTGGCTAAATACAGCTATTTCAGAATAATTACAATTACTACTGCAGCATAGGACCTCACGTGGGCACTCTTTTCTGTCCACATGGGGATTGTAAATCCCTATCACTGGACATGCCTATGGCTAATCTAGGCAGGTGTTTTTCTTGCACAGGTAGCACTAGCCATTTGCTGTCCCTGTGGACCTCCATGGTAAAAGCATCATTGCTTACTCAGTATTTAGCATACCAGCTCTTCTGTGCAGACTTGGTTGTTTTGTTGGTTTCACTCTCTGCCCCAGTTTTACCAGTTGATGGAAATGTAGCTGTTAGCTCAGTGAGCCAGCTGTAAATAATGGGGAGTGCTTTCCAGAATTGCTGTTCTGCTGAATTTCTAAGTGTAGACAAGGTTTAATTTAGCGCATATTTGCTTCTCCTAGGTAGGATTGGTCTGTGTTCTTCAGCAGAAGTCTGTTCAGTGCAAAAGGACTTGTTGGTAGTCCTCCTGCACCTGAGGTAGAGGCAAAAAGCTGTGGGCTTTGGGAATTATGCCTTATAGCCTTGCTGGGCAAGGTAGTGCTGTACCTTCTGCTCCCAGGAGGCAGCCTATGCCTGTTGGCCTGTCTTTAGCAACTGGTCATGCCAGTGCTGGCAGGAGTGACTCCCTTGACTTGGACACCTGCATTTGGTAAAGAACACAGCAGAAGTAGACTCCTGGGTAGTTGGTCTCTTATCTGCTGATTGACAGCTGCTTTAACTGAGAGAGAAAATTAAACCCCACTTTGTGGAAGTGATGAAGGTGGATGCACTGAGAGAGAAGTCTGGGTTTCTGCTTGAACTTTCTCAAGATTCTGTAGTGCTCTCCCTAGGATTGGCTATATCTTCTACCTCGCTATCTTTTTATTTAATTAGCATTTTCCTTCTCTTCCAGATCTCTAAGAGATACTTGATAGGATTAAGTTTAAGGATTTTTGTTACTCCCCCCTATGCAATCGCTCTATTTAAATACCATTTTTGTGCAGAACTTTTTCTTTGTTTGAAAGTGTAGCTAGTTCATTAAAAAAACATATTCTAGAGGCTTTAATAGGAACTGGCTATAATTAAAACATTTAATACAGAGCTGTCACACTTTCTCCTTTCCTACCTGTCCATTTACTTACTAATGCATATAAAGCTATTTTGGGTTGTAGACAGATGTAACAAATGCCTTTGAAATGTTTCAGAAGGCAAGTGTCAGATGCACGTGCCCCATTAAAACTCTAGAAATGGCCAGTGTGAGACAAGTGACCCAGGAGGAAGCCAGTGTTGTTTTCTCCGTTGCATTTTGTAGCATTCCGTGTTACATTTGTATGCTGTAAGATTGACAAGAGGCTGATTGGTCCTCCAG